TACAGTCAAACGCTTGCTTCAACAACTGCTGGAGAACGAGTTTGGCACCGCACCAAACACACTGCACTGACACGCCCAACCGTCCCCACCGAACCCCAGGAAACGAAGACTCGCAGATTCAAAAGCATGGGCCATGGAAGAAATATCGCTGAATGCTGGCACAGCCGTAACGGTCATGGTCCACTCTGATAAAGTTCACATGACCCACGTCTTTTTTGAACTCATTCGGGGAAAAACCCGTTTTCTCTTCCCCACGACACGCGGACTCGTAGCGAGGATGGCACGCCAAATGATAACGGACGGTGTGAGGGTATGGGCGCTCCTGCCTTACCCAACAGGGATTGCAGTTCCTGAGTGCTACCTATTATGGTCAATTTCATGTCCGTTAGATGAGGAAAAACTTGCTAATTGACGTCAACTCAAAAGCGAGATAGTCCGTTGTCTTTTATCGCCGCTACTTTGGATCAGCAGGATCAGAAGGCTTCCCAAAAGTTGGGCACAAGATCACATTTCTGATTCAAACCCCGTTCTGTGAAAGAATATTCGATCCGTTCAACCTGTCGTACGACTTGTCGTCTTACAGTTGCTGTGATACTTACGTAACTTACAGTATATTCGATCGATCCACTCACCGGATCCGTGCTTTGTGGCTGTTGCTGCGCCGAACTCTTAGGGTTCGTCGTGCCAACTTGATGATCCTGAATGACAAGGACTTAGCGCCGCTCCTCACACAATTTCCTCATCCTTACAGTGATTCAACATTTTGTACGTTTGAGAAAGATTGTGAACGACGAGGAGATGTCGATGTTGTTGAGAAATAACCATAGTGGCCAGATTTGGCAGTTCACTTTGCTACCATAGCCGCAAATTAGTACGGTATTCAGATGACAGATTGCCAAATCCGTGAGGTGCTACTGCTAGAACAATGCGTTGACAACACTCTCCTCGTACTGCACAGTCTCCTCTTGCGGCGATAGCAGCGGTGCGAATTAGATCAGCGACTATACTTCATCGCTGGAGTTCCACGGAAGAAGTTGCTTTAAAGGCAATGCGAACGCCTGCTGAATCGTGGGCGTAGAATCGTTGGCTGTTCCCTCTTTGTTGTGCTGAATATGAGAAACCACCTTCCAAAGGAAACGCATTGATTGATCAACGATGATATTGTTCATGCAAGTTCCTTCACTTGAAAGCGGTCGCGTCACGCTAGTCATTCTTGCCAGCCACGACCGCGCGCAAACGGAGGAAAGTCTCTGACCATGTCGAGAGTTGGCGACCACCTCAGAGGACTCACTATGAAGGACTTCTGAGTTAGAAAGTACTTTTTCTTAACGGATTCTTGCAACTTGCAGGAGCGGATGCGGGGCCGCAAAAGTGGTTTTTGTTTTTCCGATGCACCTCTGGCAGTGAGAAGAAGTGAGTAGAAGGATTTGCTTAGCTGGAATCATCCAAGACAACTTGTTGAACAACGATACGCTAGATAGAGTCCAGTTCGCTGTGGATCGAGGGCTTGTCAGGCAGATTGATGAGAGTCCATTTCGCTGTGGATCAAGGGGCTTGTCAGGCGGATTGATGGGCGGTGCCAGGCCTGTTCTCAACCAATTTTTGAAGAGAATGAATGGCTAAGACTGTATCATATCACATCGTTCGCATCACTCGTTTTCTACCAATTGTTGTCGCATACCCGCTTCAACAACTGGTAGAGAACGGGTTTGGCGCCGTGGCACACTCATACTGCCTGACACGCCCCTTCATCCGCAGCGATGTAGGGTGTAAGCACAGCTAACCACTACAGTCGTCAGCGGAGACGTACTCCTGATTAGAGAGCCTGCTGACCATATATAAGGACCTTTTAATGGTATATAGCGAAAAGAGTAAAGTCTTTGAGCATGCATGCAGGCAGTCGCACGTAGCGGTAGGATGGTGCGGTGAACAGTGCCATGGGCTCTCGCTGGGACAAGAAGAGATAGCATGTGTGTGTCGAACCCCTGCTATATCACTCGATGGCTTTTGGTAATCTTCGGCCTCTCATGATCTTAACTTCATATATTAAGTTGTACAGAAAATTCTTCTTCTTGCACCAAAATCTGTTTTTTTATCCAAAAATTCAGGGTTGTTTTCTTGGCCATCTCTGGACGTGGCCAGATTTGTGGATTTACTATGTATTTTCTAGATAATCCAAACTTACCGAAGTTCTTCGTGGCAAGTATAGCCGCACAGTGAATTTGCATGACCTAATTGACTGAAAAATATACAGTA